TTGAATTTTTTTAATAGTTTAAGAATTTTTTAAATATTATGCCAAATTTTTATTTAATTATAAAAATAATTTAAAAATAATTTATTTTATCTATTTCACTTACATCGATCAAAACTCATAATGCAATTTTAAATATTTAGTTTGAATAAAAAGTATATAGAAATCATTAATCCAACGTAGTTGTTTTTTGGTCTATCAGAGTAAAAACTTAAAAACTTTTATGTATTACACTTTTGTTTTCCTCAGCAAATGAAACAAAATTAAATGAACAAGAAAGAAATTAAATCTTTACGCTTAATTCTATATACCAAGGATAATACCATTAGATCAAATTTACCTTGTTACATATTACAAAAATGAGAGTTTATTAGGATCACTCACTGTAATAAATATTGGTTTTAATTATATTTTTTAAATAATATATTTTTTAGAAAATAAAATTTCCTTAAATTTTCTATTACATTTTTTATATTTAGTAGTAATATTAAAAGTGCAAATCTTTCACTCAAAAAAAAGTGGAAATCTTTATTTAGTGTATGAAATTTTTATAATTATATTTTATTTATATTATTGTTAAAACTTGAGGGCTTTTAAAAAATAATCCTTAAAAATAAGATGTTTTCAAAAATAGCTCTTTTTATAATTTTAACTATTTTTAATCAAATTGAATAAAATTACCCTTAACGATGTTACATGCCATTACACGATATTACATGTCATGTTGAAAAAATGTTATTGTTACACATCATATACTAAAACATATTACACATCATATTAGAAAAATATATTGTTTTTATACTTTATATACAAAAACATGTTACACCATAGTTAAAAAAGGTTATTATACATCATGTTAAAAAAAAATATTATTATTACATGCTATGTACAAAAACTTGTTACACGTCATATTAAAAAATATTATTATTACACATCATGTTCAAAAAAAAATTGTTACACTTTAATACCTAAAATGTTGTTGTTACTTATGAACCAAAACTTTAAATCTTCTGAACTCTCTTTATTGCTTTTTGTTTTTTTTTTTATAATTTAACACCGATTAAAATGTTTCTAACATGTTTTTATAAATCAAAATACAATTCTTTTATCTAAAACAATTATTTCAACTAAAAATCGAAAAAAAATCCATTTGGAACCCTAAGTTTATAAATTTCAAATTCTTGAGTTTATTGATATTTAAGTTCCGAATTGATCTAATTAAAGTTATTTTAAATATCTATGATCATTTCTACCGTTTCATCTAAAATACTTAAAAATTAAAATTTCAAATAGTCACTCACCCCAAGCATATCAAAACTATCGTTTGGCGTATTGAAAACACAAGATAGAGAAATTAAGAGCATAGTAAATGAATGTTGAAGGGAGAATCGATAAAATTAAAGAGAGCTAGATGATGAGAAAGAGAAATTAGAAGCACAAGTGAGGAGAAATAGTGATTAATAGTTTAATTTATTTGAAATAATTTTAAGAGTATTTTTATTAAGTCATTACTAAATATGATTAAAAATAATTAAATTTATTTCGATGGTTATTTTTGAAATATCTTTATCAAGGTTATTCCTCACAATTTCTTTTAAAAAATTTATATAATACAATCAAATTTATTAAGATATTCTAAAAGATATATAAAAATATCATTAAAAATATTTTATTAGAACATGACCTTTTAAGTCTAATATGTTGTAATGATTCTGGTCAAATAAAGATGCAGAAAAATTTTTAATAATTTATTGACATTGATGAGTGATTCCATGTTGAATTTTAATGACAAACAACCCTAATTAATTGCCAACTTTTTTATTTTTTAAAGAGCAAGAAGCAACATGCCTATGACCATGAGACCGGCAGTTGAGCAATGAGACATCAATGTCTGTGCCTTAAAATAGACAATATATATATATATATATATATATATATACATATATCTAGATAGGGAGGAATCAAATGCAATATGCTGCATCAAGAAGTAAAATATAGGACACTAGCATTTCTCTCCACACACAATTCATTACCTCTTGCCTTTTCTTTGACCCATCAATGCACTGATTGTCATTATACAATGCACCACTTCAACAATTATTATTATTATTATTATTATCATTATTATTATTTTAACAAACTTTACTTATATCCTTTATAATTTTAAATTTTTCATATACCATTTTATCTTTTTTTTTCAATTAATATTATTATTGTTTGTTTATTTTTAATTAATTCTTGCTACCTCTCTACACCAGATTGGTAGGCGAAGGTACATTCCCACTTGTAGCTTATTGCCCAAGGGGGATAAACTTGAAAGCAAGCAACATTTAAGAAAAGAAAGATGGCCACTTTACCACTTTAGCATTGTCAAAATTTTGCTTTGTCCTTTCCCACTTTGGATGTGGAATCATGGCCCATTGAAAGACCCCTCTATACTTTCTTTTTTCCTCCCTTGATAAGCATGAATGAGTCTTTATTGTATCGACAATATTAAGATTTTACATGATAAGCAATTAAAAGATAATCATATAACATCATTGATCAGGTTCATAATTTAATTTTAAAAAACTTAATTATTTTTAAAATAAAATAAAATTATGACATAAAATTGAAGATTGATAATCCGTCACCACTTTCGATTTGGCTTTGACAGCAAATCAAAACTTCTATCTCTTCTTTTTTTTAAAAAAATTTATGTGACCTTTCCTTTTAATTCTCTTATAAGTCATCCTTTGACTTGAATGGTTTTTCCAAGTAATGCAATTAGCAAATAAAGAGTTTTAGGTAAAGATTTGAAATGTAATTTTTTTAACCATAAAAGCACTAAAATTAACATTTTTTTTCTTATACGTAAATACTTAAATGTTTATTAGATGAAGTAAAACCACAGTGACTTAAACTTATCAAGCATATATAATTTCATGGATTATATACCAGCTTCTTTTTCATGTTACTAATTAATCAAATAACTCAATCGGCAAGTTAATTACCCAAAAAAAAAAGAAAAATGCAAACATACCTCTACCAACAAACTTTTTCATGATTGTGAAATTTTAACTAGTTCTTTATTCCTTGCTCAGCTCTTGAAGCAAACCAAAAGATTTCACTAGATGAGGGAAAATAGAGCAATTTAGAATGGGCACTGCATTTTTCAAAAGATTTAAAATAAGTTTGATTTTGGGTTAGAGTGAAGAAACATTAAAATTTGAGTAAAAATAAACAATAAGATAAACTTTTTCACCATAATCTATCACATTAGAGCCTTTCTTATGAGCAAAGTAATTATAGTTTTTTCAATCACACATATTTTCTTCAACTCCAATGTCAAACTAGGTCCTAGTAAGTCGACCCTTTTAAATTTTCATAATATTTTCCATCTTAGTTTTTTTTTTTTAGATATGGAAATAAATCAAGTGCAAGAGGTAAATCTTATGAATCTCATAAATTTCACCTTGCTTTTTTACTCAAACCCTAAATTGAAATGATAAATTCTAATTGAAAATCATAATTATTTTCGGTTAAATTTGAAAATGTAGTTTATTTTTATATGTCCAAAAACTACAATTTTCTCATTATTAAAATTAAAAAAATAAATACAAAAGCCTCCTCACCCCATTTTTATATCCATTTTTTATTAGGGTGTCTCAAAATTAAGTTATTTTCTATTCTTAATCACTTAATATATCATATTAATTAGTATTTTTTACATTAAAAATCATTAAATATAAATATCACAAAAATTTAAAATTTAAAATGCACTCAACTCAAATTTTCTTATCAAACTTTATTTTTCTTTAAAAAAAAAGAATTTTAGAAGATAGTGGCAGCAAGACCACTCAATCACTTACAATATATTGTTGTGTATTTTTATCAAACTTTGAACTAAAGAGTTAGGACTGAGGGAGGGAGTAATAAAAAAGAAACTTAGTAGAATCCAGTTAAACTAATTAAATAGATTTGGTACTCATACCAAATTTTTTAATTCTCCTCAATTCAAAGATTGGACAAGGCTAATGGTTGGTGTATAAAGCTAAGGCCTGCTCTTGGTTTTACCTTCAAAGGCAAAAACAAAAGATTAGATTTGTTTTTTAGTCAAATTTTGTTTGTCTTTAGCAGTTGGAAGCTCTTTGAGTCTAGCAAAATTTTAGAACATCAAACAAAACCCATTTAGTATTGGATTAATAAGTATTTAATATTTTAATCCTCTAATTTTTTTAATCATATATTACCATGATTTATATAATTAACAAAGGCAAATGCCTTCTTAGTCTATCCTTCTTGAGACTCTTTTGTGTTTCAACTAAGCAAAATTCTTTCGCTAACTTTACTTGTTTGGACATTACGATCTGAATTGTGTTTGATCATAACCATTAATTTTGATGGTTAGTACCAAACATATAAGATGTTAATTGTGATTAAAAATGTTTATTATGATGAAGTTATTTTCAATCTTAAAAAATAAATAATAATCTATAATCCTAAGTCTAAAATCAAGCAAACGTAAGGAATATTAATTCTCTATTTTGCTAATCATCTCTAGTTATATACTTTTCTATTTTGTATTTATGTTTTTTTAATTAGTAAAATGCAGTACTTATTAAAATGCGAATAAACAAGTTCATTTTAAATTAAAAATTAAATGATTAATTTTACAATTGTGAGAATATAAATTATTTATAAAGTATTATTTACTAAAAAAAAATTCATCCATGTTAATAAAAAAAATAAGTGTAATTTTTTAAAAAATGAAAATTATTTTATTAAATTATTTGAAGAGATGCCATTAGCCATTCATTAAAAAAAATTCTTTTATAAAAGAAAAAAAAAACAGTGCACATGCATGCATCAGACGGATGAGATATGCCATCAGGGGAATAAAGAAATGAAGGGACATTGAAGATTGATGTGTCTCAGAATCCAAATCTCCATCAGATTCTATTTGGCTTCAAATCCCAACAAACTTTAACCATCTTAAATGTAATAATCAATCAAATCAGACGGCTAATACCCACTGATCTCCTATGACATCATTTCAACTTGCCCACACCCTATCCTCCCTTCCTCTCACTCTCCTTCTCTTCTCTTTTCTATGAATACTCAACCCAATCCCTATCCTTATCTTTCTTTCTCCTCTCCGAAGAATCTCAACCCAGATTTATTCTTCCTCTTCTGCTTTCAATTTCGACCAAAATCCTCTCTCCCTGTAAATCCTCCTTTGGAGGAGCTTAGGTTTGTCTGAAAGACCCTGATCTGTTTTGGTTTTTTCTGTTTGGTTGTGGGTTTTACTTTTTCTTTTATTAGATCTCATTTTTTTTGGTTGTTTTTCTGGACAGGCCGTGTTGGTGTTCTGATCTTTGATTTGTCGGAGAAAATAAAAAAAAGAAATAAAAATGAACGCCAACGGCATGGGAAGGTTTGAGGAGAGAGGGTATAATTCAGTGGTTTGCCCTAAGCCTCGTCGGTTAGGCCTTTGCAATTCCTCAGCTCATGATCATATCAGAGCGTTTAGATGGCCTACCAAGTAAGTACCCTTCTCCAGTTTCTCTGTTTTTTTTTTTTTGTAATTTTAATCTTTCTGGAGTATAAATTTTCTTATTTAATTCTTATTTTGGAAATTTTCAGTGGCTGTTATCAGACTGAAATGGTTGATTCAAAAGATGGGACAGAACTTCTTGATATAATTCTCACCAAGGTAACTTCGATTTTCTCCCAAGTTTTATTATGGACGTTCATGTATCTTTTTGTTGGATTTATACCTTTTTCTGTCTTATTTTTTTAATTTTAGTTTTAAGCAGCCAAAGTACTACTATGGAGTATAACTTTCATTTCACTGGGAAGGAGACAAGTTTTCATTTTTTATTTTTGAATATGGCTTTGTTCATTTAATTTTACTCTATGATATCGCTTTTAGTTTTAATCATTCTCAGCAGTTTTCTTTAGTCAAGGTTGATTTAATGGAAGATAATTGTGAATTTAAGGCGGGTTTTTATAATTTGACTGCAGGGAGGCTATGGGGCTGAGAAACCCAGTAACCAGGTGGCGTCATCGCCACCATTTTTCTGCGGATCACCACCGAGCAGGGCCACAAATCCTGTTGTTCAAGATGCCCAATTCAACAAGGAGAAGCAGCTTCCACCTCTATCATCCCCAGCACCACCATCACCGTCCTCACGCATAGCAGGCGGAGGATGCGTAAGGATGAAATTCGGGCATAAACCAGCTGCAGTCCGGATTGAGGGTTTCGATTGCCTCAGCAGAGACCGCCGTAATTGCAGCATCTCTGCCGTGGCTTAACGCAATCAAGACCCTCAATTTGGCAAAAAAAGAAAAAGAAAAAGAAGGAATTATCAACCATAGGTAGCCGCAGAGCAAGAGGGGATTTTCAATTTGTAAGAAAATTTTGATATGAGAAAAAAAAATCAGGGAGATAAATTGAATTACAAGCAGTAGTGTGCTAGTGTTGTAAATACAGATCCAATGATGTCAATGGGTGTTCTTTGTTGTTCTTGAAGAGTTGGGTTTTGGATTTTCCTTGCAGAACTCTCAGGATGTGTACATTGTAATGAAGGGTGAAGACTGATGAGAGGGTAGCCGATGTTAATTTTTGAAGAAATAAAATTGTGTAGGAGAGAGGAGAGAAGAGGGAGCAAGCAGAAGAGCATTTCTTTCTTTCTTTCTTTCATCTCTTGTTAGATTGTTCTTAGTTTTTGTTGATAAGATGAGAGAAGGTTGTCTTGTGATAGTTTTTAATGTTTTGATTACTGTGATCCTTCGGTTGTAATTGTAATTTGAAGGAAAAGGAGGATTAATCCTATGAAAAGCTTCTGTTCATTGTTGGGTTATTTTCAATGTCTTTATCAATCCCATGTATTAAAGTCTGCTTAGAGAATAAGCGGAAGCACGTGGTGTTGGGAATACCAATTCAGCGGTGTATTGCATGCTGTGTTGTTGAGTTGGCGTGATTATCCTTAAGCAAAAGCTAGAAAGGGACGGGCATGGGGATGGATGGATGGAAAGAGAGAGAGAGAGAGAGGAAAAAGAGAAAAGAAAACGAAACGCTGAAAAAGTGACAAGTAGAGTGTAGAATTAACAAAAGGGTTTGATGATGGGGAGAGTTGGAGAAAACAAGGGGCAAGACGCAAGTGGAAATTGGGTGGGGTTGCCTGCTAGGGCTGGTTGGGTGGGGTCTAGACCTGAGGCTTTAGGCTTTAGGTTGGTTAGTTGTAGGAAGGTGATAATGCTGAGGAATCGAGTGGGGATGAGCCTTTTTTCCGTTGGGCGTGCTGTCAGAACATGACAGCGACTTCTGCACCTGCCTGTATCTCTTTCTCTTTCTCTTTCCTTCTATCTGTGCGTTTGTTTGCAGCGTTTGGCTTTACTTTGCACTAGTTTTTTTTAAATAAATAATTTTTTTAAAAAAATATTTAAATATTTTAAATATATTTTAATACATTCAATGAACTTTTTATATTTTTATTTAAGATAAAATAAATTTTTATAATTAATAATTAAAATAATATTTATTATTTTATATTATATAATTATTAATCATGATTTATTATAATTAATAAAAATATAATATATTAATATAATATAATGAGAGGATAATATTATAATTTTATTTTTTTATTATAAGAAATTAACATTTCAATTCAACTACATGGATATAAAATAGATTTTATTTTCATCAACACTTAAGTTAAGCAAGTAATTATAAAAATTTATTTAATTTAAAATAAAAATATTAAAAATAATTTAATACAATAAAAAATAAAATTTAACTAAATCTTTTTAAATACTTCAAAAACACGTTTTAAACTCTTATGTATATTGTTTAATCAGGTTTGGATTCTTCAATTATCCTAGGGGAAATGCCCTTCTTTTTTTTTTCTGCTTTAGTTTCTCTCGTCCGGAAAATTAAATCCTATGTGGGGACGCTTCCCACCGGCCTGTCGGATATTGCCTACCTAACCCAAGGCATCCGCGTCAACTTGTCTTTGGTTCTTTGGTTTTTTACGTAAAAAAAAAAATCTAATTATTTTTTTAAATAAAGGAAAGCTTTTATTACCTAACAAAACAGGGTAAACAAACTTCAATTATATCATTACTCAGTAACTCCCTAGATTTATTTGGTGCATTATTATAGGATATGACAAACTTTGACATTCCATTGCTGTTGAAGGAGCCTGTGAATTGACTTGAATTAAATCTGGGTTAAAACATAGATGATTCAATTGAGATGTAATAGCCCGAATTGCTAATTTGTTATCAACTTGAAGATCTGTTTGTCGAAAGCCTAACTCCCATGCATAGCTTAATCCACGATAAACTCCCTAAAGTTCAGCTTGGTCAGCAGTATATGTCTTGAGTTTCATTAATGCAAAAGCTCCCTTCCACTGTCTAGCCGAGTCCCTTAGCACTGCTTCAGCCGTTAACTTGCTCAAAAGAATTTCGATAAGCACCATCAGTGTTTAAAGCAATCCACCCTAAAGAAAGAGCAGCCCAGCCAATTACTATCTCCTCACGATCATTAGAAGCAACTCTTTCATTTCCAAGAGAAATTAAACAATCGCTATTTATCGCAGTGGCCAAACTATGAATCAAAGTCACTTGTCTTTCTATAGCAATGATTTTGCCTTCGAAAATATAAGACTTCCTCTATTTCCAGAGGAACCGACAAGTAACCCCAAAAAACTAATTATATTCGTATTAAATACACTAAGATGAGAGTTAATATAATGATTTTGAATGTATTATGTAAATATATTACTTTGTATACTAATTTTAAAACACAAGCACCCCTTAATAATGTTGAAATATGACTAATCATAATCCAATTCTAACTAATTAATTAAATTATGTATGTCACATAGGTGTATATATATATATATATATATATATATGACTAATCCTAATTTTATTCATGCTCTAGCACTAACTAACAATATTATAATAATACTAATAAGATATTGTAGTCTAACTAGATAATAGTATTGTATAATAATTTTGACAGATTAATTTGTATAATTAACTTGATAAACAAATTTGACACTCTTTTATGTTTAAAATTTGAGTACTCTTTTTTCCTCATTCATGGTTTTTTTTCCCACAAGGTATTGCCATGGGTAGGGTATTAACAAAGTTTTCCCTTTTTCCATTTGGGTATTGTTGCTGGAATGAGCTTTACAACCAATTAAGATTGGTTAAGACTTAGTTCCAAACATGCAATTATATTATTCACAAAAATTAGTTAAAGGTTTGCATTTATCAATAAGACATCAATTATAAAGGTTATAAGTTTATTGGATAAAATCTATGAGATTAATATACCTTGTAAAGGAATTGTAATAGGTTACAATTACGGAGATCCTTATGTATCAAAGCATAATTTCTAAATACTCGTGGTCGATGTATCATTGAGATTAGACATTAATGATACTTAGAGACTGACGCATTCTGTGTTCCTTCCTTGGAAAGTAGGATCGAGCAATGGTCGGTTGCAACTGAGCAACTGACCAATCAACCGGAACCGACATTGATGATTACCAGTGACTAGATTATTCGGTGCTAGTTGTGACGTCAGTTGCAATCGACGGTTGCTCAGCCACTATGGTTCTATCACTGAGGACAATTCCTCCCCAACTGAATCGATCGAAAAACCAAACCTCAACCTCTTCCTTCCCTTTCGCTCCTAATCACTTTTTTTCTCATTAATCCTCATTCCTCCCTCTCAATTGAATTGAAAGTTTGAAACTCTAAATTAAAAACATTCACATACCCCCCTTTCTCATTAAATCTTCCTTCACTTACCGTCTCCCACTTGCCATTGCTCTTACACTTGTTGGCCTCCTCCTTATCCACCGTTTATCTTCAACGTTTGGTTTGGTTTGTAAATTTTGACTTTGGTGTTAGCTATTGTGTTTTCTTTTTTACCCATATGTTACTCTGCTATTGTGTTTTTGGGTCATTTGCTATTGTGTTTTTGGGTTATTTGATTAATTCATCTGTTGTGTTTATTTTTTAGTTGAGTTGTGGTCTTTGTGGATATGGATGGGTGTTGGTTTGTTGTAGTTTGTTTTTAATGTTGGAATTCTAAAGTTTCCACATAGGCACAGTCCACTCAAATGAGAATATGATTATTTTATTTGAATATTTGTCATTTTGGATATGATTATAATTCTCATTTTGAATAAATTCAACTTATTTGTTGTTTGATAATTTGTTAATTTGGGATGTGATGAAATTGGATTAATAATGATTTTGTAAGTGTTTGAGATTGTGGTGAACTCTTTCCTCGCTCACTTTGTTGAATATTTTACGAAATAGCACAATTAAAAAACTAAACAAAGTAATGTCTACTTAAGCTTAAGAAAATAATTTTTACTAAAAATTAATTATGTGATTCTTATTTAAAAATAAATCATATGGATTGGATTACTTATTTAAATAACATGGGCTTGATTTCAATTTAAAATATAGGCTTTACACAAATTTTAGCCCAAATCAACACAAATTTTTCATGGTTTAATTGGCTTTGGGCCATTTAAGCCCAAGCCCAACATGGATTTCCAATCAACCGAAACCAAGGTTGGTTTCGATTGATCGATTTTTCTTTATGACAGATCGGCTTTGGTCAGTCATAAAGGACTGCCAAAACCAACGGTTTTGGTTTCTCTCAAAAACGAAACCGATCATGCACACCCTTATTGGAAAGTAAGCAACCGATCTCATAGATTGACGTATAGAGATACTTGAAACTAAAATGTAAGTACTTATTTCATAAACAAGTTCACTGAATATGACCCAACATGAGAAATGCATTTAGTATCTCAATCTAGTGTCTATGAAAATATTTTTTATGTGTTAGTCATGTAAATCCTACTTAGACTTGAAACATTATGTTATCTTATATGCGGAGTACTATATCTTTGATCATATCCCTACGATCCTACTAGGGATGCCAAAGCAAGATATAGTTGGTTGTAACATGAAGCATGGAAAGGCAAGAAATGAATCATCACCCAAGTGATTTAGGAGACGTATCCTAAGAGTTTTAGGTTGTTATTAACTTGTTGAAGTCTTTGGCCAAGGCAAGTTGGAGATTATAAAAAGAGTTTCACAAGTCTCTATAAAACTAATGATATAACTTCAAGAACGAATATAGAGGTAAATAAGAGTAAACATTATACTGTGCTCCTATTATTTATGAGATATATGATGAGAAAATGAATTACATTGATAAGTTCTACACTGAAATGTTGTTAAAACACCCTTTAACTCTCCTAATAATTGAATGACCATGATGCAGTGCTAGATATAAATCTTGATTTATGACATTGAATTAATTAATTTAATAAAGATTATAATTCAATTCCATTATCAACATGTTAGGAATCTAATTGGTCACATATAATAAGTTGTATTATAAATTAAATTGAGAATGTGATGATTTAAGTTGGACTTAAATTATACATTAGGGTTTTAACCTCTAAAGACTTAATTAAAATAGTTTAATTAAGTGTGAGGTAAATATTATAACTAGTTATAATATTAAAGCCTTAATTGCAAACAAATAAATAAATAAATTTGATTTTAATTTACAATGATTTAATTAAAAGGTTTAATTTCGATATCTGCAGATTTCAAAAAAATTCTAAAAATGTTTAATTAAGTGATGAATCAATAATATAAAGGGTTATAATATTAAGGTTTTATTTACAATTTAAGAAATTAATTAACCTAGTTATAAAAATAATTTTTTAGCTATTCTTCACTAGAGAGAAAAAAGAAAAATACACAAGTTAGGTTTTTAGGCTATCAAAAAACTAACAAGCAAAACCTAACCGCATCCTCTCTTGAGAAGTTTTAGAAAAACAGTTTTCCAACTTTGTGATTTGACTAATAGGAGTGTGATAGTGTGAACAGTACAAGTGATTGTCCACCTTGCGAGCACAAAGACATAGTTGAGAAAGCTCCATCATTGTGAAGGATCAAGTGCAATCGTGTGTATAACCGTTAGAGGCCAAGTATTTGAGTGGTTTAGGTTCTTTGCCCCTTTTGTAGTGTTCACGAATTAGAAAAAGATGAGTTACCATTGTGATAGATCACTTGGCAAAAGTAAGTTTATTTTTCTGATTACTCCTCTTTTCTTGTTTTGTTTGTATTAAAACCACCAAAGAGATCCATAGGTGGCAACATGAGATTTTGTTTAGATTTTTTTGTTTTCGCTGCATGTAACATAAATGCAATGTATGATCTCTTTGCGTTGCGTAATATCCAACAATTATAATGTGGGTTGGCATGAGAGAGCTTAAAAGGTACGATGTTGTGATATCATAATGTAATTATGCATTAGTAATTCAATGAATTATTTTTCTTCCAAAAAAAGAATTCCTTTTGCATTCAATTTTGTGAATATGGTATTTCAACACATTTAATAGCCATATCTCTTTCCATAATAATGTTATCAAGAATTTTTAAAGGATAGGAAATTCATTAAGTTATCCAACATAAAATCATGTCATGTGTTAAAATGATTCACTTAACAATGTAAATTTTGAATATGTTTTAAAATGTAAAATTTTGGTAGAAAGATTCATCGTTTAGGTTTAACTTAATTGGTTTGACAGATTATTATTTTATACATAAATGATAAGAGTTTTTAAATTGCACAAACAAGTTAGAATGTTGTCACTTATTCATTTAATTATTATAAAAATTATTAATTTCTTAAATATATTCTAATGAAACATTTATCAAGTTTCGATTTTCTTGTGAATGCTGTTTCTTACACATTATGTTCTGCTTAGTCCTTTTTTAAAAGTTTAAAATATAATAAAATGATCCTAAAAAGTGATTTTTTAGGAACTCATTTAAATTATGACATATCATTTTTTTAAAAAAATCTCAATTATCAACCTACAATCCTTAACACTGAATTAGTTATATGACATATCATATAATTTAAACTCTTTTTTTATCAACCAAGAAATTAGGTTCTATTCAGCTCTAATAAAATACTTTTATCTTGAGAAATATAATTATATGGTGATTTTGATCATTTTTATGGAGTTAGAAAAGTCATCTCCATGTGATATGAAAAAGATGTAATCCATGCTTTTCAACCCACTATCTTTGGTAAGACTAAGTGATCAAAAGTGAAAAAGAAGTAAGCCCAAAGGTCGAAATTGACATGTAATATGACAAATGAAAAAGAAATGAATTGGTTTCTGAGGGACAAGGCTGGATCCTTGCCCTGTTTTCTCAGCCCCAAACCCACCCCCATTTAAAAGGGAAAAGTTCTGGGAGGGGTTTGAAGAATACCTCCAACTGGAATTCCAGACAAGGAATCCATTTGGAGCGAAGAAGGTACTCTGCTTCCTTTAGCAATTGTTCCCTTGTGAGATCTGGGAGGTATGAGAGAGTCTCCAACTTCTTCTTTCCAAGGGGTGGCCATACCTATATGTTGTCACATGTTTCACACCATCAATGAATTAAACAAGTTAGCCTCATCATGGAAAAGAAATACTACTTCTTTTCTTAAAGAGAGGGAAATTCACGTATTGAACATGTATCTAAGGGGAAAAATGTTCAGCATTCCAACACTACATATCCATGGATCAAACGTGTCTTTAGTTAATATGGTTAACATTACTTAAACATTCATAAAACAGAAAACACACACACACCCTCCATTTCATTAGTAAATTTGGTGTCTGAAAAATGGGATTTGTGATAGGGAGATGAGTAGATGACTGTTTCCCATTTGCATATATGACCCAAGATCCAATGGGTCTCAGTTAAAATAAGAATTTGATTCCTGCCACAATGCTTATTAAGCAAAAATTGAGTAGTTAAGCATCTGCATGCACTGAACTCTGCCACCATTGCTGGCGAGAGAGGTGATATCAGCTTTGGTCTTGCGGGTCACTGGGAAAGTTGATGTGGACTTGAGGCCAGTGAATGGTGCCACCATGCTAGCCTGAGCTGTGGTGTCTCGGTTGATGCTGCCAACACTAGCTTTTGAGACCATGGAGGAAGCCATTTCTTTTTCTTCATACTTAATTTGTTTTCCTTCCAAGTCTCAAAGGCAACACAAATTTCTCAATGAGGAATTCTTTGGTCCATCTTCTCATCCCTTTTATAAACATACAATGCCAAGATCAAATTTTTTTTAGGGTGTGTTTCCATCCTATGGTTGGATTTTGATCTTGTAAGTTGTCGGTGTTTATGGACAGTTGGATCCAACTTGTAATTGAAAATATAATTAGTTCTAAGGTCGCGTTTAGTATGAGAAAAATGAAAGTACATTTCTTACAATGTACCTAACCATAGGAGTGGGCAACGGTCGGTTGGAACCGTCCAACCGACCGCAGCCGTCGCGCTTATTTAACCGACGTTTGTTTTTGCAACCGTCGGTTGTGCCGATTGACCTCGTCGGCTGATCGGCTCGGTCGTCGGGGGGAATCCTTTCCCCCTGAACCGACCGAAAAAACCAAGCCCCCCCGGCTACCCATGGCCCGCCCCCTACTATTTCCCTCGACCCCCCCCCCCTCCACTCGATCCTGAACTCCTGATTGTTGTGTTGATTCCCCCGGCCCCCTTCCCACGAGTCCCGATTCCCCCTTACCCCCCTCCCACGAGTTCCGATTCCCCCCTGCCTAAGTCAACTTAAGTCAACCCATTGATCTCATTATCAAAAACCGATCGAAACTGACTTTATATCATTGCGGTTCCGTCGGTTATATCCCAAAAATTTTTGATCGGTTTTGACAAAAAACCGACCGAAACAGACCCATGCACACCCCTACCTAACCAATTATATTGTAGTGTTTATTTTGCTACAAATTATTGCATTATAAGATTGTAATGCAATCACATTACAATTAATAGACGTAATATGATTACAGCCTCAAATCGATACAATTAAATTACATTACACTCTATAATATTTTTAAAAATATTTTTACCCTTCAATTTTGTTACTTTATTAAAAATATTTTATAATATTATAATTTTTTATATAGATTTCGATAATATCTTTTTATTATTCTCAGTAGTCATGGTGATTATTAATAAAATTTATATTATGTTTAAAAAAATTAAAATTAAAATATAATATAGAAATTATATTAAATGAAAATAAAATATATAACATTAAAACTATATTTAAAAAGATGATATTATATAATAATTAATAATAAAAAATATAGTATATTAAACTTATATTTTAATAAATAGGATAATTTTAGAAATTAATATTACATTCCTAACAAAGTACTTATAAACTAAACGTTGTAATATTAATTTTTTTACATTTTAATAATTACTTTATCTTTCCTGTAATCACACTATTTACAATCACATTATATTGTAAAATACCAAATACCACCTAAATATATGAAACCTTATCTTTTCCGAGCCCTCTTGAGGTGCCACGTGGACAAGGGTCCCATCATCTTATCTAAAACTAAAATGATTATACTTAATTAACTATGAAAATATATATGTTTTTTTTATAGATATATCATTAATAAGATTCGATATAGATAGAAATTAACTTATTATTGATTATTTAAATAAATTTTTTTATATTTAACAAAAATCAAAACTTTATTTTTTAAATAAAACAAATTCTATATCAATTATTAAATGAAATGTTCATAGAATATCTAATTATAGTTTTACTTGTTAATCATGTGTAGTTTCATGGACTTGAGGGGAAGATGCAACACGTACCAGGACTCCTCTTCACTTGAATTAACTAAGATATAGAACATTGAACTCTAAATGATGGGAATTCTTTCAATTTTATTGGTGTATAAATTTTTTATAATCATATCTGTTAAATAATTTTTAAATTTTAATAATTGATTTACGTACATATAAATTGTAAAATTTCACGAATGAAATTATTATTTATAATTATATATCTATAACATACTATGCATGTAATATTACTCGTAGTCACAAATATCGTATTTCATACTTGTATAGTATGGTCATGAATATTTATATCCAACAAAGTTATAATATAATTATTTATCTTCCAAGTTATATCTGATTTTATATAGTTTATAGATGGAAAACTTATTTTTCATAGGGAAGGCTGGAAACAAAAAGGAAAAAAAAATAGAGGTGGGTATTTAATGACAAGTAGTTGTCCATTGGGCATTTGCATCATAAAACAAATCACACAATTTGTTATAATCTGGGAAAAAACATAATAATACTACATGGGACCAAGCCCCCAAAAGACCTGTCTCCAACTTCATTTTCTTGGCCAGGGAAATTTTGTGCTTAGAATTTGCAGATATATTTAAGATAACCTTTTATATATTATATGGTCCTATACTTAACGTGCTATACATTTTCAATATATATTCAAATGTGATATAATTATTGATACGAATCGTTTTTTATTAATATTGTTTTATATCGTATTATATTAATAATTATAAAATATTTATATTTTATTTTTTATTTTTTTGAAAAAGTCATTTCCATGTTAATGTATGTAAGCTTTTTCAGCCACATCCTTTATGAACATTGAAGTAACCCTTTTTCTTGGTTTTCTGGATTTTAACTGTCATAATCCAACAAACACTAAGGAACTTTGAAATTTCATTTGAATATTCCCCTTTCTTTTTCAAACTATTGAAAATGCAAAGAAAATGGAAAAAAAAAAATCTCAACCACTAAAAGCTTTAAAAGCATGTTTAGCTTGATTTTTTTGAAAACTTAAAAGCTATTATAAAGCTCTAATAAAAAATAATAATTTTTGAAATTAAACTAAAATTATTTGATAAATTTACTTTTTATAATTTTTTTAATAGATAAGCTGTTTAGCAAAACAATTTATATAAACTCTAATTTTGATTAAAATTACATATTTAATAAATAACTTTTTATTAATCATGAATTTCTTTCTTCAAAATAAAAAATTAATTTTATTTTTTTTATCTATTTAAAATAAATTTTTGAAAATATAAAAAAGATTTTTATATAACATAAAGTTTATAATTAATAATAAATCATAAAAAAAGTTTCACAAATAATTTATAAGTAACACATAATTCATAAACAACCTATAAATTAACCATTGACTTATTTGATTAATTATTTCAATCGTAATCAACAAATATTATATATACCATCAAAAAGTTCAAAATAAATAAATATCATATAATTATTATATCAAATAATAAACTGAGAAATATTAACTAATAAAAAGAGTTTTTAAAATCACAAAAATAAAATAAAAATAAAATGAAAAACAAAATAGAAAGAAAAAAAAGAAATAATACCTTAATGTAGTTTTAAATTTTAGATTCTTTTTTATTTTTAATTTTTGTAAGAATAAAAAAAACCCTAAAATGATGATTTGCAGTAAAGAAGAGAGGAGAGGGAGATCGATAGAGAGAGAGGGAGAGGCTATTTTTTGAGAGAATATCTTTTGGAAAAAAATAGCTCTCTTAATAAGTTAGAGTGTTTTTTTTTTAATAAAAGAGAAAAATCTTCTAATTGGAGTTTTTTTTAAGCTCTTATTTTTTAGATTTTGTTCTTTAAAAAAAACTTATTTAAAAAAAAAAAACTTCTCAGGAAATCCTGCTTGGTTCAATTTTTGTTTTTAGATAATAGATAAGTTAAAAATAAAGCAGACCAAATGAATACTAAGCCAAATTGCCTTGGACTTCAAAGGTCCCTTTCCTCTCTGATTTGAAGGAAGATGACATGAAGCTCCCAACCATAGCACCTGTGCTAGAAATTTCCTAAAATGAATGGCTGCAATTCATGGATTTAATTCTACTAAAAGCATTCATAGCTGAAAGGGGACAAAGGCAGTATGGGAAATGCTCAGTGCCATGCATTTTTTGCGGTCTCAGTTATTCTCATCTTCTGGCTTTAGCACTTAATAGTTCTGCCACTAAAAGACTAACCTTTATGGCACCTTAACATAAGGCCATAGCCGGCCACTGCTACCATGAGCTCTTCTCCATATGCCCATATCTTCGCTCCTCCCTTCAACACTAAACAACCAAAATGCCAACAAACAGTAGAAACAAAAACTTGAATGTAGTCATCTTAAGGGATATTACTTGCTCTTCTGCAGGCATCATGATCAACTACATAGAAAATGAGCCTTGATTATATAGAAAACCATTCTTTCTGAAGATTGCAGAAGGTTTGAGAGGCAGAATGAATTAGAAAGAGGCACTGGACTAAATAGAGTAAAGAACACTAGGATATGTATACAAATTTGTACATATGTATGTACATACTCCAATGAACCAATAGCATCAATTACAGTTTTGATCCAAGGGGAAAGAAGAGTGCAGTAAAAAGTATCAAAATTTGTAACAAAATTCCAATTAATGCAAAACTGCCTACAACCTATGTGAGGAGAACGAATTCAGAAACTTATCAGAGTTGAGATAACATCGGCAAAGTTTTGATGACATGTAATGTATTAGTCAAAAAACCATTGATGAGTATCAGACTATAAACAAGAATTGTGAATAACTGCAACTTCTGTTGTCTTTATTTACTGCCATCTTCTTGAAGAAGGCTTGAGCGAAGTGGAGCTTACACTCTTTTTAATGCCTGAAAGGAGCAACAGAAGAGAATTTTAGGAGGACACCACTTAAAGAGGTCTACTAATTTTCATCCACCTTAAAGAATAGCAATTATAAAGATGGAAGAGCTCTGAGTTTCTATACTTGTTGAAACCCTCGAAGAGTCTGTTCTCGATGCAGTTAGCCCTTGTGCGAGTTTTTGTTGAAGTCGAGTCCTTGTTGCTACTTTAGTCCTGCACAAAATTCACTTTACTGGGCTGAAGTTTAAAACAAGCTGAAGAATATGTTGGAATGGAGCAGCTGAACCCCTCTCCCCACTAACCATCTTCCTTTTTGCATTTTTCCTATTTAGCTTTGGTTATATTTTGTTGTTCTGACCTTAAAAATGAAATGCGATAACAAAAAACTATTGAAAAGAATTTGTGCATGAAAGCTTGCCTACATCTGTTTATATGATAAGTTTTAAGTAAAGCAGAACAAATATTCCCCACATCATATGACTTTATAAGAAGAGTAGCTGATTAGAAGAAAGAATATGATCACTTATGGAATCTGCCAAAGAAATCGAATCGCAGCTAAACAATTGTCGCCATCACAAAATATATAACTTGGATAACTCAGAAATACCAATAATTTGAAAAGAAAATCTTAGTAATCAAACATATATAGACGTGTTACTTCCAGCATAAAAAAAAAAAAACATATAGGGACATGTCTCTGTGTGCGTTCGAAAGGTGGGATATACACCAGGAAAACAAAGACTTTGATTGTTTATATGTTCATCATTTGACATAGAATTGCTCCCTGCTTGTAAGTTTTGGATATGATATCTACAAATCTCCTAATTAATCCAGCTATTTACCTATACTTTCCTCAGGGTAGCAAACCAAATAAACATTTTTATGCATATTTCTTCCCTAATTTATGTATAAATTACTATGTGCAATTTTAGATAGGTGCATAAAGCTGTAAGAACATAAGCGATACTTACTTTTCCAAATTAATGCCTTCAGGGGAAAGAGTGTATTCAGTTGAGCCATCAGTTTCTGTTCCCATAGAAAGAGTACCATCAGATATTTCAGTAAACTTTTCGTCATCCGTGGACTGCTGGTAATCAGCTTCAAAATGCTTATCACTGTGAACAGTTGTCATGATCAGAAGCTGCTTTCTCAGTATGTCCTAAGCCTTCCCACCTGACAGTTTTGGCTTCATGAGAAGAACCACCTATAGAATGGAGGAAGAACCATACCTCAATGAGCTTGTTCCATGCTGCTCACCATTGATGCTAGGGTATCCACCTTTTAGATCTTTAAGTAATTGCAACCGCTCAATCTCCTCATCCTTTTTGGCTATCGTGTCCTTGAGAGATGCCATCTGCAGGGTCAGTTAAACTTAGAAGACAATAATATGAATTGAGTACTAGTCCAGTATCCTACTGCCCTCTTTCTGGGTGGAGAATACACGTCATACCTAGACCCAGAATATACAGACAAAAGAGAGTTCAACTAGAAAAGCATATTAATCTCAGGAACATTCTTCTAAATCTATCTATAAAAGAAAATGAAATAAGTAGATATCTATCCATAATCTTCGAATACAAATATATTACTAGTCAAGAGCATTGTTCAGGAGCCAAAAAGAGGATTCAAGTGGATAACGCATGATTCTTGCAAAAATATGATTCTAAACCTCTAAATGAAAATTAAATAAGATCTATATCCAGAATCTTCAAATAAGAATATTAGTAGGCAAGAGCATGGTTTCTGGAAAAGTATTTTTAAAGCTTTGTTGAGGTAATATATAGTCTATATACAAAAGAAAGTTATATAAAATATAATCAGCATGCATTCATAGATCTAGCAGTATTGCAACATTCACTAACTGATCTGTCACTCTGGCCTCTTCCTTGTCATAGGCTCTCATCTTCTCCAGCCAAAGCCCACTACTGTCTCTGACCCTCCTAATATATGTCAGAATAGTTTCTGAAATTCCACGGGGATTTAAGAAACTAGTGTTCTTTTTAATTAACTTTTTTCTACACATATCAGCTTATAAATGCTTACGAAATTATAACTTATGTAGTAAACTCTGCTGGTATATTAAGAAATAAACAACACTTATTCTAAGCAGGATAAAATTTAAAGATCTTCATCATCATCATGTTACTTCTGATAAACCAATTCAAGACAACCACAAAAAGTTGCTTTAGTATAATAGTTTTTGTTTCTCTTGGCAGATCCATAGAAAATATATCTAGAGACTCTACAGCTAGCTGAAATTCCTATTAGCAGTCGTAGGAGATATTAGTTCACATACCTTTGGATCTTCAGAACAAACTACAAAAGTTTGTTCCCTACCATATTAAAAATAATAACTCCATATGAAAAAAAAATGCAACATCAAAAAAAAAAAAGGAACTGACCTGCTCCATTAGTTCCCTAACATCCTTCCCCTCTTTGCTACTTCGTGCAGCACCTAGCTCAACTCCAGAGACCCGTTCAGCAAACTTCAAAGTACTCATACTTTCAGAATAGGAAGTGGCATCAGGATTGAGCTGCACAAACATAAGGGTCTTTGCTTGACCACCTGGAATATATAAAACCATACAGATGAAGATCTAGTGAATGTGTTTATGAAGCAATACATTTCAGATGAACAATAACATCAGTGTCCTCCAAGAAAAATAAAACAAAATTTTCATCCTCTAAAACCTGAAGATGATTTCTAGTCGTTTAAGAATAAGATGAAATAAGTACCAAGAGAGCTCTGGAGTACTTGAGTGAGCTTGCTATTTCTGTACGGCACATGAGGAGTCTTTTGTGCAAGAGCAAAAATTACATCTCCAAGGGAAGACAATGATTTGTTTATATGTTGTGCTTCCTTAAGCCTATCTCCAGTTACCTCAGATCTATCTACTCTTTCACTTCCTGCTAGATCTACCAAATGAAGATTACCATATAAAGTAGTGCCAACCTTCAAATCCTTCCCGCAAACATGAATTGTGACAATGCTGTAGCCACAAATCTAAATCATAAGTCACTGGGGAAAACTAAAGATATGATTTCAAATATAAGATATACAAACCTGTGAGAGCGACTGCTTCTTTCATTCAGAGCAGTAGCACTAACAGCTCTATTCTTGAGTCCAATATTCATTAAATCCAATACATCAGAGGTTGATGTAACAGGGAGCATGGTAGCATCAGGTACAGCTAACCCATTAGGTTGAGAGATAGTTGTAATCCCAAGCGTGTGCAGATTAAGGAAAACAAAGATTACTATACCAAAACAATGAATATTTTATTTAAACATTTATTGAAATACACTTGGAAAAGGAATACATTCAAAAGCCAACAATTTATATATATAAGTGAAACAGGTTGACCAACTGCCATCATTGAAGCACATCTATCTCGTTTAAAAAAGGATATTTCTTTTGAGAACCACCACTTGATAATAAATCGCGCACTTGTTCATTATATATTTCGACCATTTGAACCCCAACTTCATAGAGAATGGTGCTTCTTCTATTTTGAGAGATTTTGAAGAGACTATTCAAAGCACGATAATTAACACCCCATTCCTCTTCAGTTGCTCCATTAGGACCAGTCTGGAAATGTTAAAAATAATGTTGGCATTGTTCAAAAATATTTAAGCAACTTCATGAAGCTTAAGAATACAGGGATTCATACCATTGTGTAGGTTTTCCCTGAACCAGTTTGACCATAAGCAAATATACATACATTGTACCCATCAACTACTGATTGCACAAATGGTTGAATATCTTGAAATACCTCCCCTGCCCATGTTTAAAAGAATGGTAAAAGTTAGACATTGCAATGCTTTCTCATTGAAAACACATTCAAGTTCATATTACAAGGAGTATCAATCAACTAACAAAGAAATATTCAACCAACAATAATTATTTGACAATGATAGAGATAAAAACCTTGAGTAGCAGCTGGACCAAACACCTTGTTAAACTTAAATGATCTTTGGCCATCTTTCCCTGGCTTGGAGGGATTTGCAATAACTAACTGGCCATTTTCACCAATATTTTCTATGATTGTCTGTTTTCCAGTTTGTCCAGGCAGAAATGGCCTTATTCGACAATAGACTCTAATGTTTCCTGTAAAAAAAAAAAATCAAAAAGCGATAAACAAAATGACAGAACCCAACAGAGAGAAGCTACTTATGGCCGCACCTTTCAAGTCCTGAAGCTCGTTAAAAAGCTTTCGGTTTTCAGCAAGAACTGCATGATAGTTCGCGGCCGCATCTGCTAATGCTTTAAGCTTTACTTCTGAACAAGAAAAGATTTTCTTATGAGAACTTTTACAAAACAAAACAAGCTGACAAAACTTTCATACAACAAACCCACCTAAGTAATTAAATTCCTCAGAATAGCTCTTCTGTGTTTTCAAAATTTCTTGCTTGATGGAGTGAGAAGTGACCCTTAGCTCCTGAATACTTTCACAAATTAGTAAAATGAATGATGTTTTGAAGAACACATACAAAGCTAAAAAAGAAAAAAAGAAAGGCTATACATACCTTCATTGCACCAAACTGAAAATCCATAAAGCTTTGGTAGATGTTCTCTTTCACGTTCCACCTTTGGCATTTTGACTCGGAAATTACTTCAAGCTCTTTCACCTTATTGTTTGAATCAGCAAGGAGACACTCAAGCTCTTTTATCCTTATCTGAAGTCCTGCTTTGGCACCTGTAACCCCTGCTTCCACTTCAAAGCAGTGCTGCTCATGCATCTTTTTGGCAATTTCTAACTCTTGCTTCAGTGCTGAGATTTCAAGATTGTGTTTATCATTTTCTTTCATTAACTGTTTTATCTCCTGCTCCTCAACTTTCCGTTTTTCTTGCACTTTGGAGTTCTCAGTCTGCAAGAAAGGCAAAACATCCCATGAGAGAAAAGCCAAAGTGTAGAAGGTATCTGTGTTATATGAGATTAATTTCATTGGCAAGTGAAAGGTGCATTCCCTTTCCACTCTCACACCTAGCAAACAGCTTGCAACTATTTTTTTTTTTGAAAAAATCATATTTACTCTGTGAAGCCAACTGATAAGAGTGTCCATAACAAGTAATAGCAGGCAGGAAAGATCCTCCACATACTGGGTACAGTGGAGATTATAATTGGTCAATTCATTAAATTCATTCAAAATAATACTAATTAGAGATTTCCAATAAGTACTGGATAAATAATGCGTAAAATAACAGCTAAATAATGATGCCTGTGAGAGAATCGAACACAAGCAGTTCAAGACTGTTGAACAGCAAGAAATGTTCTGTTTTCTTCGAACCTTTATTTGCTGAAGCTGGTTTGTGACATGCTGCAACAAAAAAGTTCATTAAATACGCATCCGTTAGCATCTACACATAAAAGGGAAATGCCTTTTAATTATTCTTTTTTCTTTTTTAGCTTTATTATTTTCTGCACCTTAGTCTCTTCACCAGCTCCGGATGCAAGGGCCTCAAGTACTCTGATTCTTGACTGGTACTTCTCCTCACGAGCCTTGAAAAGGTTGTTTTGCTGCAGGCCACAAACTACTTTAAATCAGTAGAGAGAAACTGAGAAGAAAGTATAGAAAGCAAGAGATTTGGAATAGTATTTACAGTTCTTAGGTGCTCTGCTTGAGTTGATATACGCCGTTCAATCTCCTGCACAACTTTTCTCAGTAGACATGCCACACGCTAAGCAACAAAGGTAATGTCATCATGTTCTTGTATCAAAATATCCATATAATTACATATGCACACAAATGCATATATGTAAACAAAAGCTGCTTGCAATGACACACACATGCACATAGAAATACTTAAATTTTAAGCCCATATTTCATCATATACCATACATGAGGAATTTCACCATTCTTTCTTTCAACACTTTCATCCAGAATTCCATTCACAACACTTAAAAGTGACTGAGTGGGGGCATTCTGCATACAGGAAATGTGAAAATGCATTAAACATACACCATATGATAAATAACAAGTTTTTTGCATATTAAAATGTAGAAGGCTAACCAAAAGAAATGTAAAAACATAATAAATGTTAACAAGTTACATCTAAACTGTTTGATTTCATCATCTCTGAAATTTTTGTTGCAGGGAGATCTGCATACCGCCCTTGTTTCAACTGAAACACCTCATGGAACTTGTGTCCCACATGATGCAGTACTGCAGCTGATGGTTCTACGGAAGGTGCAAAAAGCACAAAACATAAACTAGAAATAAGATTTAAAACTACAAGAAAAACCAAAATAATATCTGTGTTGGCTAAATATGAAATAAATGCATATATATACAGTTTCAATAGATCAGAAATCAACTCCACACCTGTTAGGTGTATGCTTTCTGCTAGCAGTACATTTTATAAGGCTGGTGTGACATTGTTAGTATATTTTTGTGCTTAAGTAATATATAGCCAGTTAACCAGAACTGTCTCTAATCTATACATTCATTACTTCACTGCTGCCAAAGCATTTATACCATTGAAAGCACTTGAAACTTGTGAACTATCACAGATGCAACATTAACAAGCACATATGCACATGCAGAGAGAGAGAGAGAACTACCTGACATTAAAGGAGTGTGCAAGGCCTGTTGTAATTTTGACTCTGAGGAAGCCTTCAACCTTTTTTCTCGAGATAATGGTGTGAGAGGCCCATGAGATGATGCATCCCCATGAATGTTTCCAGGTTTAGTAATAATACTAGTGGTGGACAAGTTACATCCAGATGGCACAAATTGTGCTTTTAGTCCTAGAAGGCAGTCAACAACAGCCTTCATAGATCCCTGGAGGATATAGGGGGAGGAAGAGAGAGGGAGGGCGGAAGGAGGAAGATCATAGAATAACATTAAAATTCTGCCAGGTTAATAAACAAGGAAGCAGATAACATAAACTAATAAATGAAAAGAGTAATGTCAAGAATACACATGATAAGCAGTGCATGTAAATACCTGTGCAGCACAATTATAAGCTTTGATTACACAGTCTAAACTTATTCAGTCAACTCTTTCAATAAAATGGATTCATGACTTTCGGATTGATATTTCCATATGGCTAAGCAATCAAAAGTTCATTTAAATAGTAGTTATAGAAAAAGTTCAATTGAATAGTGGATACCTTTTCTAGGTCTGATACCTCAAATCTGGGTATTCCTAGCTCATCCACTGCTGTCAGAAACCTTTTAACATTTTCTGACCGCAACACTGAAGAATTTTTGGGATAACCTTCCTAGAGAAAAAATGCAAATTAATCCACAACATAAAAAATCAATAAACTCATAATAAGATATGATCAAAAGAACCTAAAAAACAGAAATGAGTTGAACAACCTCATTTACAGAACCAGGTCTAACCCTGTTCAATATTTTACATAGAACGGTGCCATCAACCAAGTTAGCTCTTAATTCTTCATCTGAAGCTTTTATTGGCAAACTTAGATTGGGAAGAATACTATTCAACCATTCGACCAATACTGCCCGTTGCTTGGCTGCAAAGGAGGAAAAAGACATAAGGAAAACCACTCACTCAAACAAATAAAAAAAAATGTACAAAAGAACCGAAGACATAGAATATCAGCTTCCTGTACATTCAGTCTCAGAATTTCTGTTCGCCATTGCTTCAAAAACATTGACATGCAGTTACATATGAGATGTCAAGTCTTGCAGAGTGTTTTGCATGGTGATTCAGCCTTAAATTCCTGATCAGATGCTAAAAGACAGTTCTTTAGAGCTCAATTATGAACTTTTGATTCCTCCTGTATATCGTTTATAAAGTAGACCTGAAAAACAATTGACTTTAATTAATGTGCATGTTTGTTATTCGAACAAATAAGACAGCCCAACTCAGTGTTCTTAGAAAAAGAAAGAGGGTATAGAAACCAAGTTAACCAAGTCATTAATAGCCAGAATTTTATAGAATTATGCAAATTAACCAAAATGTTACCATGCATAAGTGATGTCTTGAGCAAACTGTGATGTAACTGCATACTAACTAAACGATAATGCTTTTGTGAACCTTGTCTTCTGCAAGAAATCGTGTATAATCCTTGACTAAATTAATCAAATAAACCAGATTTCCTCAAGACTATGGCTATTGAGCTGTTGTCACAAAAGGAGGTATGTGTCAGGTGCTATAACAGTAAAATTTGGAAACTATATTCTTAATAGATTTTGCAAAGCTACTTATCAAAGCAGTTGTTAAACTTACCAACTTCCAACACCCCTAAACTTTACCGTTGAAGTTGCTGTCACTTTGAGCTGTCAAAGCTTTCCCTGTCAAAGTTTTGTTAAGGTCCTAAGAATTCAGAAAAGAAATTATACAACCATAACACAGAGGGAAACCACCTTAGGGTGTAAACTCAGATGACTACTAAAGACTTTTGGGTGCAGACAAACATTGCTAGGTTCACAGAATGGATATGATAATGTCAAGAGAATTTTAGAAGAAACCAGAGAAGGATGGATAAGGGTACACTAAAACAATTACAATTTATAAACATGAAATTTTTATCCACAAGCATAAGAATTTCTCCCATCATTTTGCTTGTTTTCCAATATGAACACATAATTTCTAGTTCTATGCATACAAAATACCAAATCTTGTTTCTCTTGCAGTTGCATAATCAGGTGTGGAAAAGCTACCAAGTCAGCCTATTGATACTTCCAGAATATACGTACTATCGACTAACTGGAGACGTTCCATGTTCTTCCTGACCTTAAACATTGGCAGAAATGCAAAAGACACTCTTATAAAAAGCTTCATCTGAAACCAAACAAGTTCTTTACATTAATATATAAGGTCTTAGATGAGTGTGATTCTCTTTTCAGAAGGGGTTGTTGGGTGGTTGGCTGCCCATTCAACTTCCTCAACCCTTTCCGTTTGCAATTTTACAGTGTCCTTTTGGACCTTTCAGCTATAATCTTAATTCAGCTCCATAAAACATAAATGATACAGCAATAGCAAAAAGTTCGACGGTTAAACCACCCTAATGATACCATAAATGTATCAACAACCACCAAGGTTAACAAAATATAAAGTCAAGCTTTTCTATCCTTCTAGTCCGAGGAGACCCCTTTTGAAAAATTTCTTGTTTACTTTGGGTTGTACTCTTGCATTACTTCTGCGAAATTTCTTGAATAACTTGATCCGTATTGAGGTTTTCATATGCATACACAAATCTACATTTGCACACAGGCAAACAGACATGCATAGCTATTTAACTCAATAACAATGTCAACCAACAGATTTAAATGCAGAACTCATAGATTTCTGTGGTGGAGCTAGGGATGACTTGAAGACAAATTTGTGTTCATCAAAAGAAACTGCAAACCAAACCAAACCATAGCAAATTCGAAAGACCAAAAAACTTTAAGACCCTTTATAGATATATCTTTCAGAAAAACAAATTGCAGCCATCTCAGAAATGTGTCAATGAGGCTGATATACAGAGAATAAAGAAGCTAACAATTCCTTAAAAGAAAAAGCAGCCATTGATAATTTTGCAACCTTGCTAAAATCTGGGTATATCTTGCAATCACAAAAGAAGAGCTAAAACATACACACACACACAAAGAAACAATACCCATTACAGAACTCAGCTAGAATATATGATAAAACAGGGAATGGAAGTCCAGATTTTCAGGTTAATTAAAAAATATGGATTGAATTTATCAATGCTCACATGCTACAATCATATATATACAAAACTAAATATCATACCATCCACAGACTAAGGCTTTGATCATCATCAACATTGTCAAAACCATTAATGAACATGAAAACTAGATCATAGAAACATTACCATGAAATTGTTGAGACAAGTCCAACATAGGAAGACAAAGAGATAAAAAGGAATGTAGAGCTGTGCACGTTGATCAAAGGTTCAATGAAGCTTTGTTAAATGTATAAGTGTCATGTCAATGGAAGAGATACATTAAAATTTTTTTTTAATTAAGTTTTTAAATTATTTGAAATTAGTGAGAATTTGAATCATTTCTCGATCGTTTGCTATTCCGTTTACCATTGGTCTTCCAAGGGACAATGGTGGGAGAAAGGAACCGGTAAAGTAGGTAACTAACTGTCTTTTCGTCTCAAATTTTGTTCCATTGGGTCTTTGCCACGTGTCCAGGATCCGACATTGATGCTCCATCTTTCGTGCTTTCTTACTTTGGATGGTTAGTAAAAAACTAGGAAAAGGGTCTTCCTTTTACGCCCAACAAATAAGCCAATTTCAAATAATTTCTCTTCTGATAATGTCATCCTAGTGTTAAGCAATTCTCGACCGGAATACATTTTACCTCTGATCAATATAATTTTTTTAATTTATAAATATTATATATTTATAAAAAGTTTTTTCATTTCCAAATAAGAAAAAAATTTTGAAAAATCTTTTCCACTTGAGCCTTTACCACCACTAACCAAATCCACAAACTTGGCTCAAAGATAATTGAGTTTCAATAAGATTATTTTATTTAAAAAAAATATAATCGAATTCAATTTTAAAAATCGAGGAATACATATATTTATTATTAAATTAAATGTTTTTAACATGTTTTAAATTAATGTTTTAAAACACAAATTAATCTGAATTTGACTCGAAATTTGTATATAATTAAATAATTTAATTATAATTTCAATAAATAGATGATTAAAATATAAATATAAAAACTATTTTGTTATTTGAATGATAAAAAAATATAAATTACAGGTAAATCGGACTTGGCCCACATTTACTTATGAATAGGTTGTGCTTGGGTCCTAGCCCACCTAGACCCATGGGAACATGGTCCTTAAAGAAACCTTACATTTCTCAAGGACAAAACACATTTCATTAAAATTTTTTACTCATGATTTTTTTTTTAAAAAATAATATTAATATTTAATAAATTCGTTCAAGTGATAATTTAATATATTATTCACTAAAATCCTTTTTACTACAATATTTGAAAAGTTAGTATAAAAAATTAGAATGATCGTTTTAAAAATCTTAAATAATGTAGTCATGATAGAAAGAAAAATACACAGTGTACTATTTTTCTTCATCAAAGATTTTCTCACTAGATTTTTTCTTGGTAAGATTTTTAATAAAATAATATTTCATAATCATATTTTTGAAAAGAATTATATACTCATTTTTCTTTATTCGAATTTTTTTTAATGAGGTTTTTTATTAGTAAAGTTTTAATGAGACATAGACATTCAAAGGAAGAGTGTTATGAATATATGTGTCATATGACTCATGCAACAGGCTCGACACAAGAAGTTTAATTTAATTTGAATTCTTGTATTTAGTTAGGTATATTTAGATTTGGACATACATTAGATTGGATAAAGATTAGGGTTTAATCCAACTAAATCAAATCCTTTCAGTATTATCTTTATCTTATAAATTCTATGTGCTCACTTTATTTATAAATACACTATTAAATAAGATCTTCTTACTCTCTCTAAATATTTTTTTTCATACTTGTTCTTTTAAGTAATATTTTACAACAAAAACTTAATTTTTATCACTTTAAAAAATAAAAATATTTTTAAAATTTTGAAAAAAAATCTACAAAATTAGAAAAACATAAAATAATTATTTAAGACTTAGAAATTCTAAACAAATAAAAATAATCAAAAATAATTTTTAATTATTAGAAAATTATAGAACGATAAAAACTATAAATAATTTTTATTTTAAAGAAATTATAAAAGATTATAACTTCCATAAAATAAAATTTATATTTAAAATTTTTCAAAAATAGAAGATATTCTTTTTTATGCTCATAATTTTTTAAAATTATAAAAATTATTTTCACTATGTAATTTTTAATGAACTTTTAAAAATAAAAATATTTATTTTTTACTTTCAATTTTTTTTCAAATATTTTCTTTTTTTATATTTTTGATTTTTTACTAAAAATAATTATTCCCAATTTTAATGTTTTCAGATTATTTCAAAATAATGATAATAATAACAATATAGTTTAAAATTTTTAAAATTGTGAACAAATAAAAAATTATTTTCTAATTAATATTAACATGAATTTGCTCAATACTTGGTTATTTGTTGGAAATTTTATTTAAGAGATTATATCAAAAAAACACATAAGTATTTTAAACTTACATTTTAATATATTATGGATAATTTTAAAAATTAACATTACATTTTTAATATAGTGTTTCTCAACCAAACGTTACAACGTTATCTTTCTAGTATTTTAATCATATTTTCCTTAATATACCAAATGCTATAATATTATTGGACCAACAATTACATTTTTTATAATTACATTAACCGCAATTAAATTTCTTATAATATAATTGTATTGTAA